GCTTAAGTTTCAAGTTTATCTTATTAAATATTATAATCTTATTAAATATCAATTGAACTTAAAGTCTCTGATTCGTTTAAATTCGTTAACTTTAATTTTCGATAATTAAGATAGTCTCGACAGTTTGTGTATTACTGTATTTTTTATTTTTTATTTGGGTACATCTTTTTTCTATTCGCTGTGAATATTCATCCTTTAAGCCCATATAATTTCACACTTTTAGCCGTCATTCTCAGTTTACAAAATGATTTGCAACGACGTTATATCGTTTATCGCGTTACATTATTTATCGCCGACATGCAAATCAATCATCGCTTGATTTTATCGTGCAGACGATGACCCGATCGTGGGTTAGACGAGAATTTATGTGGAACTTTACGCGACATATCGCTCATTTATAAGCGCCGAACACGTCGCGCCATGATCGTAAATTGGCGGATAATACCTCCGAGGACGAGTGCCGTCATAAAACACTTGTATGTTGTAACCTAACATAGTGTATACTATAAGCGCATCGTGGGCGCTAACGTTAAAGAATTAACGCGCTACTTCCGTCGCAGGTGTCATTTCCGGTGGCATTACCTGAACATTATACGTATAACGTTCTTTTAATGGTCCATTACATTCTTTAATAGCCTATTATAAAATTATTTTTATAATTAATAAGATAATTTTATTAAATAAAGAATTATAATTCGAAATTTGACGGAGTAGTAATTAAATGAGAGTACATCTAATGAAGCAAAAGAAATCCTATTTTCGATCAAAGTGGATCTTAATGCTTAAATATTTCGGTGTCAATTTATATACTAATCCAATGCTGCAAATCGCGCGTCGAAATCTTCTTCAGTCTTGAAATGCAATCATGAATTAGAACAGTAACCTCACATATTAAATTGACAATTTAACAAATTTAATGTGCTAATAAGCATTTTCATAAGAATATAAATAATTAAATTAACAATCTTAAAAATTACAAATAATAATTTTATTGCGAAAGATATTACCTCAACCGCGAGATTCGAGAACCCCGATCTCCTAAATTTCGTACCTTTTAATTTGACCATCAAAGCAATATTTGTTGCAATAATCAATAATTAATGAGAAAATGTCATTTTTCAAGGAGACGAATTATAAACAATTATAATTTGAAATTGGACCGATGAGAATAAAAGAAATCCTATTTTCAATCAATAGTTCAGTCATTCAGTCAATATATGTATATTATAATTTGGTTTCTCAACTATTAACTCTATTTGTACTAAAAATATACTTCATTTAAAATACTAATGCGTATATATGTATGGGAGTAACTAAAAAATTTACGACGAAGAAAATATTTAAGGAGATACACCAAAATATTTTTTAAATGGATTTTATATCCAATTTGTAGAAGCACTTGAACGCAATGAGTAAATTACTCGTTAGAATAAGCTCTTAATAAATCTTAGAGAGATCTCTATAATCACTAGCGCGTTGATCACAGTTTATCGTTAAGCTTTCGTCTGAATCAGTTACATGTTTCAGACTGGACCGCGAACTAATTAATTTCAACGTACCAGCGCGTAAACCTGGATTCATAGCCCGTGGAGAGGACGCATAAATTCAAGTAGAGCGGCGGTAAAATCCCTCCGTTCCGTTTCGAGGACTGTGCCGTACTTGGCCGAACTTTGATGGTTACGAGGCAGGCTTACCGGAGGCCTCCGTCTCGAAATGTAATTTTCAGACACTTTATTGCGGTACGTGAAAGTCTATCAAACGTTGGGACTCTCGGACATGATGAAAGTTATTCTCATAGAAACGCCTCGAAAATTCTTCAAAAAATTACGAGCAATAAAAGAATGTGGATATCAAGTAAATTGCAATTAAAATGAATTAACAAGCATTGCAGCTTGACGATCATGCATTGAATTGTATATCAATTTATATAACGCGTATAATAGATTTATGAAAAATTTAGCCATTTTTAATTTTACATGCAATATGTGTACATGATATAGTTTTATATTCTGCTCAATAATTGATTGTGTATACCACGCGAACTGCATTCTTTCAGAAAAAGTCAATATCAATTATTTCCATGACAAATTAATATGTTTAAAAATTTATCTTCCCTGCAGTTTTTCCTCAAATTTATAAAAAAAGTAACAATTTACATAAAAATATGAAAAATATGTTGTTAAAATTTCGCATACATTATATTGTAAAAAAATATTTTGTTGTCATCAAAATTTTAGTTGTAAAATCTAAATGAAAAGTCGTAGTAAATTATGGATTTTATATGCAATATCCTTTCACAAACATTGAGATTCTATTTACTGCAAAACTCTTTATTTCTTCAACGTCGCGGTGTTCTTGTTAATCCTCATGCCACAAATTTCTGCGCGTAATAGCTGTAACGTGTAGCGAACCGAAGCTAGTTTGAGAGTGCAAAGTGTCCTTCGCCAGCTTCGAGGACCCGGGACCGAATCTCCTCCGGCAGGGCCCGTTCGAGCGGAATTGATATCCCCCCTCGAAATCAGCTTCGTAACGAAATACCGGGTGGCTGCGGGCAAGCACGTAGGCCCACCTCACAGATAGCCAGGTCTTAGGGAATGGATAGGACAGAGGGCATCGACTCTCACCTTCGAGTGGGACACCCTTCGTGAAAGGGTGAAGGGCACTGAAGAGGTCCGTACGATCGATGCATGCAGAGTTCCTCCAACAAGACCGTCGAGGGAGCCGTTTTATTTCCGGTCGCTCGATCAGTAGCGCTCCGGTCTTTTCGCGAAACTATTACGTGGCGGAGAGACGTGGCAGGAGGCGACAAGGATGTCGGGGAGAAAGGCGGGGCCGGGGCCGGGGTGACGACGCGCAGTTGGGGGACAGAAACAAAAAAAGGCGCGTGTCTGTTTTTGTACCTGTGTGTCGTAGCGAAGGGGGTGTGTTTCCGCATGCAAGAGATAGGACGTGCACCGCAATCTGAACGAAATCTCCAAACCCAATTTCCTGGACAGACAGACAGGCGGACAGACGAACGAGTCGACGGCGCGCGAGCAAATCGTGGACCGCTCGCGGTACCGACAACATCGATCTGGGTGCACCGGGACCGGATGCGGCTTTAATAATGCATCGCCGTGACTTTGCGCGGAAGAACGCGTGCGCCGCGCCGCGCCGCGCCGCGTCTTATCGGTCGAAACGTTCGAGTTCGCTTAAATCAAGCGCGAGCGTAAAATATGGTGTAAATCTTAGATAAGAATAATTGAAGAGCTCTCTCGCTGGAAGAACAACTTAATTCCAATTAAATTTTGTTTTTAATCGGTTTTTCTTATTTTTACTTTTCTGCTTTATATTGTGCTGGACCGTTTAGTATCAAAATATACTAAAATATTATTTTTTTAAATATTGTTCAAGTTTGAAGAAGTAATAAATCGCCAAATTACAACATGTACAAAATTAGTAAAGATCTTATTAATTAGCGATTTTCTCTGGGAAAAAAAATGAATAAATTTCCTTTTGATTTCTTGGAATCAGGTTCGATCCATAGGTGTATATGAATCAACCTTGAATAATTAACAAAACATTGAATATACAAAAACTCCAAAAACACTGAGGGCTATAGATAAATGAAATTACAATTCCTCATCCGACGTGTAGTTTTTAATAAAGCAGCAACTACTTGTTTGCCAGAATACTCAACTGTCTGCTCGACATTTGTGAGCAATATTCGATTTCACGAGTGGCCGGTAAATATCTTCTCGCGTATTTGGATACAGGCGTTTCTCCGCTATCACATTACCCGGTGTCCATTGCGGCTCGAATATCGTAATTGAATGTTACGTGGCATTTTTAAGGTATAATAGTTAATTGTTTGTTCATTTTTGCCTCTTTTCAGATTTGTGTGATTAAAATTAATTCTTTGTGTTAAAAGTTCAATGCAAAGAGTATGTATTCACTTGTATCCATAATAATATATATTCATAATAAATAACTGAAAAACAATGTAAAATACAATATAAAAGTTTCAATTAAATTTGTGTGTGAGCGTGTGGAACATAATTGCACATAACTGGCATAATCTCATAGGAGTAATAATGAATTATTATTATACACATTATCCTGTTGTTATTTCTATACTAATTATATCACATTATATTAATCGTGACATTTACATAAAATAATCGGCAGAGATATCACTGAAGGTTGATACTGTGATTTAAACGCAATTTTGTTTTAATAATTTTGTGTGATATGTATTCATGAATACATTTATTGCAATAAGTACCGTGGCTCGTTCATTGATCGATCTGTTATCGTGAGTCAAAGTAATTTTAGATTCGACGTTCACTTGCCGTTAGAAACTGTCTATCAAATAATTTTAATGAGCGCGTTATTTGATGCAAGAGCTAAACTAATTTATTATGTAATATTAACCTATTAAAACGGATTCGTCAAACGTTTAAGTGACGGAAAAGCTTTATCTTTAGTCACTAAATGTAATCTGCTGTCTGTCCAATTGGCAAATTCCAAAACTGATTCAATTTCACAATAATTAACGAGTTCATCGTTAACTACAGTAACGTCCCGCAATCACGATTGAAGAGTTATATTTATGCTTGCAACACTAAACGAATAATGCGATTAATCTTACTAAAACAGGATTACTATATATTTTTAGATACAAAGAATAATAGAATATTACAAAAGAGCTCTTTCTAAATATAATTTTTAATTTTAAAAAATTATAGAATTATTTAACTCTTTTGAGATTTGTGTTAAAATTAAGTCTTTGTAAAAATTCAATGTAAAGAGTATGTGTTATGTACAATATGTACATATATGTATGTATATATACATTTATACTAAAATGCCACATTTATATAATGTATTACATGTTTCAAATGAGTTTGAGTAATTTTGTTGACGCATCGTGTCTCAAATTTAACATTTGATCAATTTAAAAATCTACCGTTGATTTCAACAGAAATAAAATTTAATTGTATCCTCTCTTTGTTACTCAGGTAAAAGTTATGCTAAGGGTGTCACCTGGAGATGGAGGTAGCTTCTTCAGTGCGGATAAGCGTAAAAAACAAGTTACATTAGTGGATCCAGCATCTGGGCAATCTTCATCGGCAGAAGATCGACGGCCTACTGTGGCGGCGCCAAAGATGTTCGCATTTGACGCGATCTTTACTGAAGAAGACTCCCAAGTAAGTCGATATGAGATTATAAATAGGCGAACGATTATTTATTAGATATTTTTATCCTCCGCCGGCAAAAGTAAGTAGTTTTAACTTTTCCGACAGTAATAGGGTTCTTTGAGAAACAAAACATTTTATTGCTCCGGATTATAAAGATAAAATCTGTATACTTACCAAAACTTTAACAAACGACAGGTTTTTATTATCATAGAAGTTGGATTGTATCTATCAAAATTTACAATCAAAATATCAATCATGTATTTAAACACCCTAGTTGTTGGCGGAGGATTAATAATCACATTCAGAAAATGATTAGTTAAATCCCGTAGAATACAAACTAATAGTAATATTACCAAATTATAATTTCGTATTCAATGAAACTGATATGTACAACATACATATGTATTAGATTACATTTATATTGTTGAGTGGGAAATTATAATATTGACGTAATATGTTACACTATTAGTTCGTGTTTTACAAGATACATGATGATTTGCTGTAAAGTATACCAGAAGTTACGATAGAAAAAGATTTAATGTTATTTTATATTATTTGACAAATTTCAATTTTAACCTTTTAAATTTCATTAACCATTTAATTTCAATGCAAGCATGATTCTCACACGTTCTCCGCTCTATATTCGGCACAAATACTTATTTGCCACAAAAAAAAGTATCTGAAATACTTTGTCGTGAGATTAAATCGACAGCAAACTGAACTTAATTTCTGCTATTCAGAGTATTCCGTTAACGTTTTAAATTTCAAATGGCATTCAAGCGCGGCGCAACGAACAAAGCGGCACTTATAACGAGCGCGTTTAAGATCGCTCGATAGTGGGGGGGGGGGGGGGGGGGGGAGAGAGAAAGACTGAGATCTTGAGTCAATGATGTCTTCGTCAGCCAGCTGTTCCGGAGTAGTAAGTAGCAACAGTCCTCAATGCTACTTCGTACTTGAAGACTCTCTCCTCCACTCGCTCGATTTGTTCTCACTCCGGAAAATTCTCTCCTTCGGCTTGATTCTTCTGAAGGCCGCTAGCCGGCTCGATTCTTCGGAATTCATGAGAGGGAGAGGGCGAGCTGGAGAGAAGACTCGAGGAAGTTTGCGAGGAATAAAAGAGAGGGAGTGAGTGCGGAGAGAGGACAGAGAGGAGGAGAGCCCTAGAACATGTACGTGCTTCGCCGAGGTCTTACGTCGGTAGTGGAAACGTAAGAGACGTCCCTGCCGGGCGCATAACTAAACTAATTTCCCGACCTCTAAACTCCACCTCTGACAGGAAAATCCATCCCTCCAGGCGAATGTTGCTCTTTGCCTGTGACTTCCCCGTTTGCTACCGAGCGAGCCGAGCCCTGCCAACAGAGTCCTCGGGACACTTTATCGTGTTATCATATATACTGGCGGAATATTTTTCTATATTCCTCTTGGAATCCAGCAGAATATACTTTGGTTTTTCAGATTTTTAATCAAATCCCGTAATTTTTTCAAGTTTGTTCATAATTAATAAGACTTGGTTCAAATATGTGTGTAAATTTTCGCGACATGAGTGATGCGGCGTCGAAACATCAGGTCCGTCAAAGATCTTTAAATGCTTATTCGTGGATTATCAGTTGATAATTCGCCGAGTTCGGCGATCGTTATTCTGGTTATTCATTCGCACAGAGAATTCTTATGGAGGCCTTCTCTTACATATCGAGAATCCCGACGAATTGTATTATGCGATCTTGATGGATGACGTCGCCGAAGCAAATATCGCTAGAGATCGTAAGCTACGCCGCAGCACGATGTTATATACACATATTGAGATATTTCGGTACTCCTGAGGGATATTATTGAGCGTCGGATTCAAATGAGCCCGGAGCTACCATGGATATTCCCGAGTCCCTCCCTTCGCTCTAACAGCTTCTCTTTCGTCCTCTCTACCTCTCCATTCCTTCAGCCATGTACTTCACCGTCTGGTACTCCAGAGAGATTGTCCTGCCTACACTAGCCTCTCTTCCTTCTTTCTTTCATTCCAATCCCTCTCCTTCTCTTAGCGTTTCTCCCTCACCCCGGACTATGTTTAGAAGAACCATAGAAACCAATTGATTGATTCGATCAAATGTCCGTCGGCCACGGCGATTGTCATTGAAAGACACAATAGACCCTTTCTCCTCTCCTCCCTTTCCCTTTTTCTCTCTTCGTGATCCATCGAACTGTTGGTTGCGAACCAACTGGACTTCTGGGGGCGAACTCCACAGGGATGAAAGAGTCGATTTCGAAAGAGCGAGTCCCAGCGTCCAGCGCGACTTTTCGTCCTTTCCGATTGGCCGTCAAACACACTCTCGCTTGAATATTTTAAAGACCACCGGGTACGCCGCCATTCCATCGAGCAACCTACAATCGTTCATCATCAAACTGGCGATCTCTTTGACGTTTTTGTAGAATCGCGAGGATCGATGGTGCTGATCTCCGCCCTTCGAAAGTCCCCGTTATCGGCATCAGGCATCTAGCAACGGACAATACGATCAAATCAATAAAGTCTTCTTTTTAATGCCAAACAAACACAATGGCGATAGTAATTGTCACAATGTAGTAAAAAAATGGATCCAGATAAAATTTTTATATTTCATTATATTACTACTATTCATATATACCCACAATTACAGAAAGCATTTTTTTTAGAATAATGAAAATAGAACTTTTCAATGTGTCACATATTTATGGAGATAAATATAAGCCAAACACAACGCACATCTGTGGAGATAAATATAAAATAAATAGAAATATGTTGACTTGGCTGCGTTTAGCAGAACGCAACTATTGCGCAACTGTTAAGTTGCAACATGTTGAGTGCTCTGCTGAATGCTCTTATGGTATTATCGCATGCGTGAATATAGAAGAATCTAACTTTTACAACGATATATATAAAAATATTTATACTACATAAAATATATATTTGAGCTATTATTTATAAATGTTTTTTAAAAAATGTCTCCTATTAGTGTGTAAACTGTGTAGCAAAATGTTATTATCATTCAGAAATTTGTATTCCAAATTTAGAAGTACTATACGATACAAGATTAAGAGTGTATTGACAAACGAAATAATCATGATAGCATGTGGACGTTTATTGACGATACCGTCCAATCGACAATGGTAATTTTAGTAGTGACATAATTTGCTTGATATTTGTGCGTTATATCGGACAGTATTTCCATAAATGCACCCCGTAGGCAAGTGACGTCTATATATTTGAGCTGCAAGTTAACAAGAATGTCCGCGGGCTAAAGAAAATACGGTTAATCGAAATTACAGTTGAATTGTTTGCGAGGATTAAGCCACAAGCGCAATTTCAATTATTAACACTTCAACCAGTTAAACATTAATAGAATCTGCGATGGTGTAAATTCTATCGATGGATTATTTGATAAAGTCCACAATAAACTTTGATAAAGCTCCAGATTGATTTAAAAGTTGTTACAGGTCTATATCTTCAACTTGGAGGAAATCGAGAAAATATCGGAGCGAGAAGTGATATTGAAAAACGTATATATCAGGTAACCGAGTTTATCTCTTCGAACAGGAAATAATGGGAAGAGACAGAAGGAAGCGCAGCAGAATCCTTTTGAAGATCGGGTTGGAGCGTGCAATTTGTGCGAAACTTTCTTTTCGCGTATTCAATCACGTGGACACACGCGGATTGCAAGTATAGCGAACAATCTATTGGAAAGAATACAGAAGCAAAAGCTCATAGTGTGTGTTTCTCCATGACGCGCAAGTGATATTGCACTTTTAAAAATAACTTTGCAAAAAACAATATCTGAAAGCGTTTTCTTTAAAAATACGAATTCCAGAAACTTTTTTATCAACGAGGAAAAATTGATCCGAATCGCCTCGTTCTACGCTATCATTGCTTACTTCATTCTAGTAACCTTAGATACTTGGTATAAATTTCTTCAAATACTAGCTTGAAAATCTACTTATCAACAAAATTAAATTATATTATTGCCAAAAAATACATTAATTTAAATTCTGTTTGCACTAAGTAAGTTTTTATATAATTTGAAGCAATTGATCTCGCTTTGATGACGCTTATATATATATATAGAGGTAAACTTAAGTGCTTAATTCCTTTGAGTGTATCGTTAGTTACTACTCGCTCTAGTACCCTGAAACTTAGCATAAATTTTCTTCGAATATACACTTGAAAACTAAAGCACTTACTAGTAAAATTAAATAATTAAATAATGTTCAAAAAGAACATAAATAATTAATCAAAATTCTATTTGCACTAAAATTAAACAAACTTGATTATAATTTCAAGAAAAATAATATTCCCTCTTCTCATTCTCTCCGCATGCATTTTTATTAATAAGCAAACTTTAATAAATCGTATAATTCAATAAAATATGTAGTTTATCTTCATCGCCATAAGACAGCCAATGACGTATTGTGCAATTATGTTAAAGCCACGTGGAAACTGAGCCTACTACTTGAGTGTTAACAATGAGCTGCCAATAGGCAGACCACGCGAACGAAACCCGGCCGCGAATCAATCGACATCCATCTCAATTATGCGCGTCATACGCGCAAACAGCCACGCATTCGACGTGTACATATGCGTCCGCGTATATCGCCATGTGCGTGCTCGGCCGACAATTCCAAGCCAGCCGGCGACCCAGCCAGGACAATGCATCCCGACCAGAATAATTCACCGCGGCCATTATAGCCGCGGCAGGACAAGGGCTTTATTATTGACTTACGACTAATAGTCACGCTGTGGATTACCTACGCGTGTGTGCGTATCTATGTCCGTGTGTGTACGCAGCGCACACAGTCGATGTGTATGCACGTCACCGATCTATTGCTCATTTGCCGGGATATGCTGATTGAACGAGCCGCCCGCTGAGACCTATACCTTGCTTCCTGACTCTCGTGGAAATTTGGTTGCCTCGCAAAAACGAATCATCGCGGCATCGATTGGGTGTCATATATCCCACTTTGTAACTTTGTCCTCGGAATCAAATTGG